CCCGACATACATCAAACACATGCCTGCGGAAGACAGGGGCCAGAAAGTTGGGGCCAGAAAGTTGGAACATGACAAGCCTCTAACCCTAAATCCAAAACATAAGGAGCACCGGCATCCCATTACCATGTTCCAACTGAAAGTGATAGAATACCACACAAGCCTCCAAGATTGCTCTCAGGGACTTGGGCAGCCACATGCCTTGAGTAAAGCCATCTCACTCATCAGGAAGAAAACCCCTGGCCTGACGGCAAGCAGCACGAACAGAGGCCAAGAACTGTAATCTTCCTTTAGCACATGCTAACGGCTCGCCCGGTTGTGGCCAACCCAAGCGAGCACTCCATGCATCATGAGGCATCGACGTGCGTCGGGACTCAAAATACTCACACTGCCATGCTAGGTGATGCCACCCTGGAGGTACCTGTGCACTGCAAAAAGGGCATCTGTCCAGAGTGGAGGGCCGTTGCTTCGGGAGATTTTTCCGGATCTTGTCATACGCACATAAAGACCAGGAAGCTCCAAGCATGACTCCCCGCTCTTCAACACTAGCTTTATCGTAGAGATGACGTGCTCGTCGGAGCTGCTGTTGGTGGTAGGCAACCCCGGCATGTGAAATCTCTACCGCCTCGCGTCTGTTGGTTGCGAAGAAATCTTGAAGATTCTTTTGCCTCCAGCGCTCCCTCCCACAGTGGAGGATGGAATCCACTTCAACCCGCGATGCCGGCCGATCGAGGGGAAAAATGACTCCAGTAGGATGTTCAAGGCCATGAGGCGAGCGGGTGAAGCCCCGATCAATGAGGTCTTGTTGAACTTTCTGGGCCCAGCGGCCTCGGCTAAGAAACTGAAAGGCGCCATGAGAGTCCCAGTATCTAGCCGCAGCTGACCATGCACGTATGGATGAATGCCAGATCACCATGTTAGCATCAGTCCAGTGACCAGCCAAAGCTTTCCATAGCCCTCGTGAAGACACATGCTGTACACGAAGCGCCTGCTTGATTTTGGTAGTCCAAGTTTCCCCTAGCGCAGCAGGAACTTGTTGCCACCAACGACCCCACGGTAAGAGGGGAACGATGCGAGTGCGGAAGAAACCATCTCTGTAAGATTGCGGCCCAGGAAGAAGCCGTAGCTGATCCAGCGCCTTGGCCGCGCACTCAAGCTTCTCATCTGGCAAAACGCCGAAAGTGGTCCCAAGCACCTTCAGGCCAGACACCAAGCATTTGTTCTCAAAGCCGGCGTTGAGAAGCAAACTTGCGTCAGAGCCCAACTTGCACAACACTCGCAGTTTGTCCATGTTCTCCTGTAAACCGTTAAGGTTGCACTGCATGGACCAAGCATTGACAAAGGTCGAAACATGTGACGGCGAGTGAAGAACTGCCGTCCTGTCGTCCAAAAATATTGATTGACGCCCTGAGTCACTGATTTGTTCTTGCACCAGCCGAGCAGGAGGAGCGAGCAAACTCACCAGCGCGATAGGGGCCACGGGACAACCCTGCGGCGTCGAGGTGCTGACAGAAAACGGGCATGGACTGACGACACCACCAAGTTGGAGATACCGAAGTTGGCCCTCCCAAACCCAAGACAAGAGAGACGCCCAAGCTGGATCGAAGCCTTGGTGTCGAAGATTCGCAACTGCTAAGGCAGGAACCATGCGATCAAATGCTTGCTTCATGTCCAGCGTGACTAAACACGCGCGTGGTGCCGAAGTCCAACCAGCGTCAATGCTGGCCAACGCGTCTGTAGCTGCTCGTTGTTGCAAACCGCCGTGGACGTACTCAGGGACCTGTGCTGCGATCCAATCTCGAACATCTTGTTGACGGGTCAAACAGGACGTCGCGATACGGTAATGAGCAGCCAATATGGTGATCGGCCGCATCTTTGCCACCTCGACACCACCCTGGTCATCTGGCAAAGTCTTTGGCAAGAACACCGTTCGCGCTCTACGCCAGCTCTCCGGGAAGGAACCACGCTGTAGCCAGCGATGAAGGAGTACATGGAAATCACGCCAATGGGTCAAAGGCAAGTTCGCCAACTCCAATGCTGTCCAGCCATCCAATCCGGCCGCGCCCGCAGATTTCCTACGAGCAGCACGCTGCAAGTCTTCGGCAGAGAGGGCCCAGGACGCCGGAGGCCGCGCGGGAGGAACCGCGGCGAGCTCAGAGGCACGTGTGCAAGCCTGTGAGACATCTCGTTTCCAGACTTGCTGCCAGAAACCAGCCACGGCCTCAAGGGCGGAAGCAATATTACTGGATTGATGTTGCCGGCCATTTTCCTCCCACGTCACCAGTGAGGGCAGAACAAGCTGTCGGCCGTGAAGCCACGCACTCAAGGCGGAGCCTCCACGCAAAAGCTTGTCTCTCCAACGCGCGATTCGGTTTCGACGTTCACGGGTTTCTGTCTGGCAAATGGCTGTTTCGACGATTTCCCGCGTCTCTTCGGAGTGCCCAGGGGGGACGCCAGGCGGTCTACAACGCTCCATCTTGTACTCGAGGACGGCGGTGTCTTTGCCACGCGCTTGGCCGCGTTGAACTTCCAAGAGGCGTCCAAGATGAGCTCGAAGAGAAAGGTTGCGTTCATCGGACGGCCTGTTGGCCGGTTTGTGGCCATGGGTTTGAGGCAGAGAACCTTTGGGTCGAGTGCCAAACGTAGGAACACGATAGCCCAAACTGTCCAGTGCGGAGCAATAAGCATCAGAGGCTTTCGCACACAGTGCACACCATTCCGATTCCGTGGAACCGACTGGGATGGGTGCAGAATCATAGTGCTTTTCCAGGAGCTTTCGCCATGCCGACGTGGAAACGGAGGCGGGTTTCAGAAACGCCGGAGTGCGGACCAGGGACTGTAAGTTCTGAGTGCATGTTGGCAGGATATCCGCGCCACGAATCCACACTGCCTTGTGATCAGACAACTTGGCGTCATCGTAGCTGGCCTGTAGACGCAAAGTGGGGTCATTCACGATGGCATAGTCAATGCAACGTTGGCTTTGCCAACGTGAAGGTACCGGTTGATCACCCTCCATGACGTTGCATTGCTGCAGCCCAGTTGCGATGAAAACATTCTCATCTGGCTCCCAATTCCAATCTCCCACGGCGATGAAAGGAGTAGCGGTAGCACATGAGTCAGCGATCCAAGGCGTGAAGTTGTCAAGAAACCCATCCGCCTGCGCATGAGGGCGACGCCACACTATCGCAATCTGGGCGCTGCCGATGCAAGAAAGCGCGGCCTCGCCTTCAGCATGTATGAAAGAGTCGATGACATTTCCTTTGACATCCTCTCGCATTGCAACCAGAATCCCTCCATGGATGTATTTCCGACCCCGCACATCCGTAAGTGTGTCACCTGCAAAATACCATCCTCGGTATCCCAGACGCCGAAGATGTTGAAGTAGTGCCGGCTTTTGCTGCGGTAGGGCACGAACTTCAGCCAAACCAATGACATGGGGCTTGCTGGACTGTTTTGCCACAAACTTGAGGGACCGATATGCTCCTTCCAGACCATCACAGTTGTGAAAGAATAGACCAAGCTGAGAGGGGGTACGGCCGCAAGACGAGGACGCCGATGGACCCGGGTTGGGCTCGATGCCTTCGGTGGTTAGGTCATGAAACCAGACCGTCTTTTGTAAAGCAACCGTGCGATTCTTGAAGTACCGCTTCTTTTTGGCCACCTCGTCCATCTCAATAGCCTCCGCTTGCGAAATGTGCAAAAGCTTGGCGAAACGACCGATGTGGTTGTCGTAGAAGCGCCTTAGAATGCCCCATGTTCTGGCAAGCCGCTTCAGGTTGCGAGCACGCCATGATGCCCCCTGTGTTTTGAGCCGCCGGCGTTTTTGGGCGACCCCGCGGCACCTGGATGACAAATTAGCTTTGGATCCCGTGCACCAGGTAGCTGCGCATCGTGAGCAGCCCCATCCGATAAAGCGGAGTTTACCGTCGGCGTTGGGAGCAAGACGAGGTACACGAAGCTGAACAAGGCGATGTCTGGAAGGGTCACCTTGCACGCGTTGTTGCCAAACTGCTTCCGCGACGAATAAACCTTTGGCACTCCCATCCGCAGTGCCGGAAAGCGCAGGAAGACCTTGTACTTTCGCAGCTTTGCGAAGTTTTGCGTTGTTGGCCTTGAGAGTCTTTGGAGCGCCAGGACACGATCGCAGATGTGCCAAGGCCGTGTGTGTGTAAGACCCACTGCCAGTCGGAATGCCACGCATGCATTTTGAACATCTCCAAGCAGCTGGTGCTCCCGGAGGTAGCGCAGTAAGCTCCGTGTTCACGCGATGCTGGATCACCGGAAAGTTGGCACGATCTTCACCTTCATGGGCTCGAGTAATATGGTTGCGGCGAGCTGAAGCGAGACGGCCGGAATCCGATGCTGTAATGCGTCTGCCACACGGACATGGCCAACATAGCACAAAACCCGGGCGGGCGATGAAGCTAGCCACATGGGGACCGAAAGTAACAAGTTGGGATAACCAAGGTGCCACTTGTGGTGCAGCATCGCGTCTCCCATGTCGCCATTGGAACCACGGGTTGGTGTCCTCCGGCAGCGCTGCATCATCCGTGTTTCGTGCTTTGCCTTGGCACTGAGAGATGGCCACTGCTTTACGCTTTCCTGAAAGAGAAGCACCTGGCAGGGAAGCGCAATCGCTCAACGAGATCCGGCGTTCGCCTGCACGAGGAAGTACAACGTGAGGAGCAGCGCCATAACCAACAGCCTCCTCAGCACTCGAAGCGCACTCAGATAAGCTAGGCCGGCGGCAATCCCCTGTGGTTTGGCGTTGCGCGCCCAGAGCGGCACGAATAGCCTGATGCTGTGCATCCGTCCATGGGTCGGCCCCCGCATGCCCATGAAGCAGTGTGACCTCATCCGACACGTACTCAAGGACCTCCTTGACGGCTGTAGAAGAGAACTTCATACCATCAAAGGCTTCGGTGACGGCTTTCCTGATAAAGTCCTCCCTCTGCAGGATTTCAGCGTCGAAGAGCGATGAGCAGAGCACAGAGTACGCGCCACGCTGCGCTGCTGTCCACCCAGAGGGCCAAACACAGGTAGCAGTTCGGTCCGCCTCCCTGTGGTCCAGAGCGGGTCTGCGCGTGACCTCCTCAACCTCCTCAAAAGCATCCCCACCCAGCGACGATGCACATTCGGACAAAGCGAGGAAGCGACCAGAGCCAAGCTTAGCGCCACCAACAAAAGCATGACCACCATCACCGGCGAGTTGAGGGGCGTCACCAGACCTTGCCGAGGAAGCACAATCAGAAAGCCGAAGACGCCTTCGAGCACCAATGCGGTTGCACCCAGCAGAGGACGTAGAAGCGCACGCAGACAACGAAGGCTTCCCCATCCCGCCCCGCATCGGGCTAGCAACCACATCAAGCATCGCCTTGCCAGAGGCACGGTGCCGAGCCCACAAAGTCTCCTCGTCGACTTCGCGGAAAGCTTGCCAGTGTTGCTTTTCAGAGTCGTACTGGAGGAGGACGAACCCAGCTTCACCGGCAGCGTTCAGAAGGCTAAGCCGGCCTTCAATGCGCTCAAAGATCCAAGCTCGGAAGTTCGTAATCTTGCAGACCGCGGAAACCTCGAGAGATCCTCCCCAGTTTGCAGCCGTGCTAATCTCAAGGATATATTGGGGCCACGTCAAATCGCTTGGTCTCCCCAAACTGTTGAAGCAGCCTCCGCGAGACCACAGCTCGCAAAGATCGGAATCCAGAGACTGCAAACACTGAACAGCGAATCTTCTCATCTGCCGATGAGTGACTTCGCTGGGAGCCTTGTTTTCGAAGCCAGCTTGAGCCATGGCCCAAAACAAACAGCTGCCGCCGCCCGGGTTCTCCAACAAGGTAGCGACCGGAGCCCAATGTGCATCATTGGCCTCGGCGTCCACATTCATCTTCGCAATATCCTCCGGGCCTGCTCTTTTGATGCCCTTGGAGGCCTGCTCATCGGGTTTAGCCACAACATCATGCTGCGGCCGATTGCCGCGCGGCGGAGAAGCTGAAGGAACAGATGCGACAGGGCGCGAGTTGTCTTTCTTGGGCTTCCGACTGGCCGGCCGCTGCTGCAAAACATCACCAAAGGTCACAGTGCGTCGTTCGGTGATAGGCTTGAACTGGGAGTCCTGACCAGTGGGTCCTCGTCTCGCACTCTCACGAACGACAACTAGATCCGACTCAAGCCCACCGCCCCAGGCAACATGTTGCTGGAGCATCGTTTGCCTGTCGCCGCGCATGCCTCGAAAGGTCCAGTCATTGGTCTTGCGCCCACGGTGTAAAGTCTGCACCTCAACCTGGGAAAACCCCAAGTCCTCAAGGAGGGCGGCAACATCGGCAATGCCATAATTCTTAGGGATGGCGCGTGCTCGCCAAAGCGACGGTTGAGCCTTGAAGTTCGGATCCTTTGAGCCCAGTCGGCAGCCGAGCCGTCGACCAAGCACCAAACCGAAGGTAGCCCGCTTCAGCACACGAGCACGATACTCCTCGAAGCTTTCTTGAACCTCCCAGTCGTGCCATTGAACCACCACCTCGTCATCTTTGGCCCAATTAGCTGTCAAAGTGCGATGGTCCTCACCGATAACGTCTACGAAGAAGACGAGCCCAGCAGCCAAAGCCCCTGATGCAGACCAAAGTCTGCGCGCTGACGCCTCGGTGCGAATTCTCATCAAACCTGTCAGCCGGTTGTCGCCGCGAACTCCGAAACCATATGCATCAAGGATGTCGGCCTGTCGCACCCCGTGCTGTGAAGCCCATGAGCGCGCACGCTGCGCGGGCTGCCTTTTCAGATCCGCCCAGGGCGTGGCACCATAGACGCAATCAGCGGTGAAGCGGACAACCACAGACGCAGCCCTTTGAGCTGTCAAAGAAGGTGGAGGCTTCCGCACTGCGTGTGTCCCAGCCTGCCGGGTGGAAAGCCTGGCAGGGGAGACACCACTGGTAACCATCAAATACTTCTTATGGCGAAGCTTGCCACCTGCATTGCCAGGAACTGGTATGACTTCAGGCGGTGTGTTGTCGCCAGGAGTCCACTGGGCAATCGATGATGTGTGTTCACATAGCAAAGTAAGGGAAACATCAGCACCGTCGGCGTCTCGACCCTCGGATGCCACAAGCTCCCAAATCTCATCAGCGATGTCACTGTTATCCGTCCAAGCGACAATGGCAACCCCCGCAGCCGAATCTAAAATCTCGCTCACAGCGCTAGCCGTCTCAGCGAACACAATCGGGCATGAAGCGTGCCAGACATCCTTACGCAGGACCCACAGGCCTTCGCGGTTGGCACCCTCAGCGCCAGCGTCCTCGCGATCAATCTGCTGAGCCCTGGCGCGCTTGCGACCACCAGCGGAAGGAGCAATCTCGACACGTCGTGACGGCCCCGTATAGTGATCAACATCAGGTTGTTGTCCAGCCGCGATTGGGCCCTCAGGTCCATCATCAAGCATGTCAGCCCACTTTTGGCGTGAGGAGGGCGTCCACCAGTCCTCGTCAGCGTCGCCTTTATCCTCATCGTACAAATCGGCCCAGCGCCTACGAGGAAAAGAACCACCCCAATCATCCCAGGTAGAAGACCAAGAAGCGCCAGGGGTCGCAGCGGCACCGTAGTACGAAACAGCATGTCCAGCCTTGGCACCTGCAATGGCCTCAGCATCCCACGAAGAATAAGCTCCCTGCCACCCACCATGCCAGTCAGCAACACCATCGTCGCCCTGTGAGTGGGAGTCGCACCATGCATCCCAATCGTTGCGCCAAGCAAGCCCAGCATCATGTGACCATTGGCGTGAGTCATGCCGGGGTTGAGCGCCTCGGGCAAAGTCCGCACAGGTCCAGTCCTTCCAGCCCACATCGCGCGCCTGTCGAGCCTGAGCTTTGGGGGCTGTGGTACGAGTGGCCTGCTTGACCAGGCTCTTGAGTTTCTGAAGGAGATTTTTGGGCCGACGGTTCACAAGCTCAGAGAGCTCGTAGTACAGCCAATCACCATCCTCGCCCTCAGCACCAATCTCACATCTTCCCAAAATTTCTTCCAAGCCTTGCAGTAAGCCTGCAGCCCTGGGCCCAGGATTTTGAGCTTCACCAACTCGCACGCCGAGCCACATATCATATCTGTACATGCACAAAATGCTGTCAAAACTGTCAATGGTGGCGTTGGCACCAAACATGAGCTCGTCAACGAAAATGCCACGACTAAACCGCGACGGCACATCGTTGAGCACAAAACCGTCGTAGGCCAAAATGGCCGAGAGACCACCGCCTGAAAGCCCAGTGGCACCAGCAGTAGAAGCGACCTTATAGTGCCGGATCGCACCGTCGAGCTCCTCGAGGCCATCGCCCCAGGAGCCACCAGCCACCGAAGCCATGCAGTAGCCAGTAATCGCACCCTCGGGCTCCGCAATGCCACAGCAGCGAAAGCCACCCATCGCCAGCAGAAGACCAAGCCTCGCACCAAGACCTCCAACGCCATGCCGTCGATCGCCATGGCGCAGACGCAGGTGGGGCGGAGAGTTAGCCGGGGCACTAGGCCCAGGTGGGCCAGTAGGAGAGCACATATGGCCGAGGCCACTAATACACTGTGGGCTCACTGGCCTCTGCTTGCTTTCTTCATTCTGGTCTTCATCAAAATTCTTCGGCCCCCTTGGGCTCTTGAATGTTTTTCCAGGTTCTAGGGTCCTGTCCCGCAATTGCAAGGCCTGCTGTGCATCACGGTGCAGCCTAACATGCGCGACCCTAGAGACCCTAGGAACAGCACCTCTAGGAGAGAACCTCACCTTAAGATGTCGAACCCAACTTCGTGACCGCACAGCAGGCCTGGAGCCTACACCGGCAGCATCACTCGACTTCCACAGGCCACGTTTCCGTAGCAGCCAAGGTACATCTTGCCATCGCAGGCGTCGGAGACATCGGCGCCGATGTTTGGCCCAGCGCAGGCGTCGCGCACCTGCCCGTCGAGCTGCAAAGGCCACACAAGGCCGAAGGAGCCGCAGGAGGGATTTCATCCCACGTCCTTCCACAGCATTGTCCTGTTGATTTTTCGCCAGATTCGGGCCCCACAGGTGAACATGCCCACTACGACGACGACGAAGTAAAGGGCGAGCGGGCCGACCCGCACGGCGCCCCCTTGATGCAGCAGCCTTTCTGCAACCAAGCAGCCGATGCAACCAGCCAAACCTCGTTTTGCGGCGTCTTTTGCGCCACTGTCTAAGCCGTGCCCATAGCCGAACAGCAATCAGTGTGTCGAAGAGTCGCCGTTTAAAGCGGCGCCACCTTCGCACCAGCCAAGCAAAGATCTCGCCCGCAAAGGCTAGGACAAAGCCAATGGTTGCAATGGGACTCGAGGGAAGAGGAGCCTTCCACC